TCGTAAACCCCTCCAGGGATGGGGACTCCACCACCTCCCTGGGCAGCCCATTCCAATTTAGAACAATCCATTCTGTAAAGAAATGCTTCCTAATATCTAGTCTAAACCTTCCCTGGTACAACTTGAGGCCATTAACTCTTGTCCTATCTCTTGTTACTTCATTAGAGACTCATCCCCAGTTCTCTGCACCCTCCTTTCAGGGAGCTGTAGAGGGCGATGAGGTCTCCCCTCAGCCTCCTCTTCTCCAGACTAAACACCCCCAGTTCCCTCAGCTGCTCCTCATAAGACCTGTCCTCCAGACCTTTCACCAGCTTTGTTGTCCTTCTTTGGACACACTCGAGTAATTTCTGGCATAATTGGTCAAATCTTCAGGTTCCAGACTCTCATACTAGCCATGTATGTAAGAAGTAGTTCATGAAAAAACAATACACTGGGCAAATCGTCATAGCATTTACCCTGGATTAACAGCTGATGCATGAGGTCACCAGACCTGGGATCTGCTGGGCTACTAAATTACTGCTTCCACCGTAGACAGAGTTTATTTAACTTTCTGAAAAGCCCAGATATTTCAAAGTCTTCTTGACAAAACCGGAGAAATGGGGATGATAGAGGATGCAGTAAGAATAACTGTAATGCCCCCTCACCCCCACGGGGGAAAAACACCCAATTCTCCCACATTTAGATGCACGAATAGTCAGGAGGAGAGAGTCTGGAGCAGTGTGGCAACGCTTCAGAGACAAGTAAGCTGACTTACTGCGGGGAACGAAGTTAACATTGCTGGAAGGGCAGACAAGCCAAGGCATTTTGCCGTAGAGAAGCCGAGGCTGCAGGCAGTGGCAGGGCCCGCGCTGGGCGCCCTGCCCCCAGGAGCAGCTGCCCGCGGCCCGTAGGACAACTGATGACTGTTTGTACCCTCCACTGCTCCCCTTTGGAAATGCTAACTAGGTTATTCAGCGCCTCCTTTGATGTCCTGATAGATGCCATTAGATAGTCAATTAGGCATCAGCGAGATCGATTGTTTCGGAATAGATGCTTTTCTGTTTGAAGTACCCATAAACACTAACAGGGCCATCACCCAGGCGCTCCTTTGCCCACGGGAACAATGTGGACTAACACACAATAAATAACAAATGCTCCTGACTCACCCGGCAGTGCTGCACCCTCTTCCCTCCCGGCTTACACGCTGCAAACCCAGATATTCCTATTCAGCAACTGTGGGAGCAAACACGGGCTTTGCATTAGGAACAATTTATCGCGGAATCTCATTCAGTTCTTTGCGCAACTAATGGACAAAGCGCCTAGATAAGTTAAATACAAGTTAGCTCAAAACAAAATAGCACTTGAATTCCTATTCACACCATCGCCGCATTGCCCGAGGATTTGTGACACCTCCACATTTGTTCAGAATTGACCAGAGAGAATAACTAAGCACTAAAATAAGAATTAAAACACTTAACCTACCGAATAACAAAGAGATGCCGGGATTAGCTCCCTACTAAACAGTATTAGAAGATAACACTAGGTCGAGGCCTTGAAGTTTAAGAGACAACTCTAAAGGAAAAATAGTAAAGTCTACACAGGGAACATGTCGAGACGAAGAGATCTCTACTCTTTCTTCCTCCCCTGCTTCGGTGGGATTTATCAAGTTAATTGTCATCTAATTGAGTATCAAAGAAAGAGATAATGGGCAGCAATTAGATATAATGGCCTGGCAGTGCGAGATCTCTCCGGATTAGCACATAACGCTGAATAACTTCACCTGGTTTGTAAAGAGGTCCCTGGAGTGGCTCCACCGTGTCTGGGAGCTGGGCGGGGGGAATATCCCGACCCTATTCCCAGTGTCCTGATGGCTGCTCTTGCCAAACTGGGACAGGCAGGAGGAGCGCGGGCTGCAGACGGCTCCCTGCCATTACCGCCGGGCTAATTCAATCATGTTTCTCCCCCTCCGTGCACACACGGCATGGGAGAAAGGCTTTGAAGTTAGTGCTTCGGCAATCTTTCCCTCCCACCCCCTTTTCCTGCCCGGGGAGCCCAGTTTCCAGGTTATACAGCCCCTGCCCCAAGAGCCGCCAGGCCGGGAGCTCCAGCAGCTTCCCCGCACAAGCATTAAGCTGCTCCTCCCCAGCTAATCGACTCGGCTTCCCGCCCTCCCCCCCCATCTGTAGCTGACTTGCGGACACCACTTTGTCTTCTCGGAGAACGTTCCCGTGGTTATTGTGATGCGATAAAAGACACAAAAGGGGGTGCTGGAAACGAAGGGGGCTCTCAGCCTCCCTGGGGCGTGCGACGGGTGCGATGCCTGAGCAGCATCTCTCGACGAGCACCCCGAGAGTGCAGGGGTCCTGCCCTGGCACTAGTGACCCTTCATTGCTGCCGGGGGTAAGACACAGTTGATGGGAAATTCAAACAAGGAGTTTCCTTCTCCCACACCAAAGGGAAAACTTGCAACCAGGTTTTAGTAACAGAAATGGGCTTCTTTAGCAAAATTTAAATGATTTCACATACAGTTTTCTTGGTCACCTTCCAGAGAAAACCTAATTTTGCGGGTAGAAGAGGAGTTACCATGTAGACATTCGGAAGAATCTGCTGTCATTAGGCACTCAGCCAAGTGAGCGTCACCTCTTGCATTCATCTGAGCAATTGTTGGAAAACGGGACAATATTTGCAAGCTGGCCCTGCCAACACACTGGCAAGGCATTTCTCGAGCTTGGCGAGTATATGTGTGGCCAGGGAGTCATTATGTTAAGTGATCATTAGCACCTTTTCAAACAGAGTCCGACTTCTCCCTCGCCAGCTCTTCTGCAGCCCGTACGCCCGAAGACCGAACACCCCGCCAGCCAGCCCGCGCCCCTCGCACCAATCCCGCCTGCCTCGGCGGGGCCACAGGGAGCCGCACACCCCCCCCCC